TGTATAATTATAATCTTTATTATAATATATATAAATATTAATACATATTATGTATAATTTATTTATTTCACATTAAAAAAATTATTTTAATTAAAATTTTGAAATATACAATTTTTAATGTATTCAGTATAATACTATCATGAAATTAAGGCTTTAGTAATTATTGTAACATTTTTATAACAAACAATCATATAACAATATATTTAATTATTAAAAAAAGACAGAAAGTTTATAAATTTATATATATTTCTAGAAAATATAATAAAATTTAAAATCGCTGAATGTATTCTAATCGTTTTTATAATGTTAAAATGAGAGAACAACGTATGTTGTTTATTTCTGCAATATAGATTGCAATAGAACTTTCTTTCTTGCTTTCGCCAAACATCAAACATATACCTATCTCATTTTAAGCTCCAAAAGTGTGCATTAGTTCAACCACAGAAAACAGATCCCAAATTGGCTAATATCCAAATTTCATTTTTATCCTATGCAATATTTAGTATGTGTTACTTAACTTTTAGGCTCAGTTCCACTGATAATTTTAGTTAATTAGCTTTGGCAATGTTATGCAGTATTGCAATGTTTGGCAGTATTTATAAAATTTATCTTTTATTTTTATTTACTTTTAATGCAAATAATCGATAAATACTGGACATATCAAAAGAAGAAGTATCTTCAACGGTAAATTCAAAAGTTCTATTTTTGTTGTGTCCTTTATCTGGCAAAAAAATCTAGATTTTATCTTCAACTTTATTAATTGGCATATATATATTTAAGAGAGTAATTTTTCATTATTATTGCCTATAAAGAGTTTATAAATCATATAGATTCATAACAAAAAAGCTAAGATTACTTAGTAGGACTTTTACAAAACCAAGAGCTTACTTGGAAGAACGTTTATTGAACGTAACTAGTCCGCTTATGACAGTAACTATATCAACACATGCTATTAAAGAAAATTTCTGTAAAAAGCATTTAGAAATCTATAAGTCATTGTAATCAAATCTTGTCAGATTCTAGACAACTTATAATTAAGATATTGTAAACCTTGCAAATTCTCTTAATCAAGAACCATTATTCAAATAATTCTTTTTAAAAAATCTTTACATATTACATATTTGCAAGAAGTATTTAAATAAATTCTATTTTAAGTTATATTAACCCTCTCAAAGGAAATTGCGTCATGCAAATAAAATCATATAAATGTATATAATTATTTATTAATTATAAATTTAACACTGAAGAATTGTATTTGCTCACAATTAATAATTAATTATACTAATAATTAATTATACTAATATGTAAATTTCTAATATTAAATATACAACGATAATAAATGCATCAATGACGAAAAATATTAATCCGATTCTTCAGATTCCAAATTTATACGAGTACCAAACTTCGCATACAATTGTGTTTTTAATTGAGACATGATTGTCTTTAAATCTGCACATTTGCCCTCTAATTTTGCAATTTCTTCTTTTTTCTTACTTTTAGCCTCTTCTAAAGAACTCTAAAAAAGAAATTTTTGTTAATACTGATTGAGTAACTATAATTTTAAAAAATAAAACTACACACACACACATATAAACGCCATTGAAAAAAAACAAAAATATTTGAAACTTTTAATATAGATAATATTAAAATCATTACAATTAGCACATAATTTAATCACCTGTGTTTTCTCAAGGAAATGATAGATGAATACTTCTCCAATAAAGTATGGAATTTTTGCATCGTCGTCCATAAGAGCTAGTTCGTCACAAGCATCCTCCAAATTCTTCAGTTCATTCTTGCAAATAATTAGTTAATGATAGTAACAATAATCTTTATTGCACATTATTGTTACTATTGTCTATAATATATGTAAAGTCTACGACTATATACAGTGTATTTTCTTAAAGAAAATAAAGATCAAATCTGAAAATTTTAGGGCTTTGTTTCTATTATACATGTTTTCAAACCAAACAACAAGGATATTGATCGTGTAACTTTTTTCCTAAGGCAGAAATGTGAAAAGTGAAAATTTTTTGTATTTATGTGTATATATATGTATATATAAACATACATTCATAAAAATCTTCATTTTTCATGTTCCTACTCTAAGGAAAAAGTTACATGATTGATACCTAATTTGTGACTATCAAAAATCTGTGTATTATAAAATTGTATTGCACAGTATAATCAAATTGAGATAAGGCATACTATTTTGATGGTTTGAAATTGATTCGACTGTAAATTGGAACAAACCCTTGATTTGAAATAATAGATTCAAAACAATAAAAAAATAAAAACGACTCTAGTTTGAATAAATTTAGAAAATTAAGAAATATAATTAACAAAAACAAATTGTATTTATATGCATGAAACTGTAAAATATATTCTGCAAAAATTTACACAATAATATAATATTATAGACATTGAAACACTAATTAGAAAAGAATTTCTCGTAATGTCAAAATAAAGGAGAGTAAAGAACAATATTTGAAAATAAAGGACAAAATTAAATTTTGGAGAAATAAAAAAATCTAAAGGACAGCTATCTAAAACAAAAGACTGTTTTTTACAATAAAGAGCATATGGTCACTGTATGCATGACCAAATAAAGTCAACAATGTCTTAAAAAAAAATCGATCTTGAATCCTTTTTAAATAGATTACCTGTTTTACTCTAAGTTCTTCCTTGTAATCTTCCAACTTCGCATTTTGTCTAGCAAATTTGTTAATCTTCTGTTGTTCCTCATAAGTTATATGAACATCGGAATCCTTGCAAAATATTATGAAACAGGTTAGATTGCAAAATGTGTGAAACAATATTGATCCTTATTTTCTAATATTTTCTGTATTATTTTACCGGTTGAAATCCAGTCTGACTATTTTTTCCTCCCGCCATATCTATGTTTTTCTATAATCAGTTCAATTGTTGCATTAACTTAATTGTTTAAATTATTTTGGGAGATTGAATTTTCGAAACCTTGTGCCTTGAGAAATAATAGGTGTCCATAACGCCACCTAGAATCTTGTCAAACAACTGTGAACAACTAAAAACAATACGATGACTTTTCACAGGAACTACACGACTACATACATTTTCTGACACTATCGATAAAATTGTATCGTTGAATGTGGTTCGCCTCTGCATTAAATTCTCACGCTTTCCTAAAAATTTAAGAGACGAACTACATCTGAATAACAATAAATAAAGGGCAAAGTGTCGAATACATTTTTTAAATACAATTGAAGGAATAAATTACAAATAAAGAGAAGTAAAATTGAAAAAAATATATAATAAAAAAAACTCAGTTTAAATTCAAATATAAATCGTTACAAGTTTCGGCTACCAGATTGAGCCCTCTTCAGACATTAACTTATCACAAAAATCGCTGTACAAAATTAATTATCGAAAATGACCGCATATTCATTATAATAACAGCTCCGGTGAGTCTTGATGTAGAACTTGACATTATTTACATACGATTAAACAGTCAAATGTTTCATATCTCTTGGAAAAAGTTCTAGTTGATAAAAAAATAAAATAAAGACTTCTTACGAAAAAATAAACACAATCAAATTAACATACCGGAATTCTAACAAGTAATCAAAACTCACAAAAAATTATGTGTAAATTATTACAAACAAGTGTATCCATATAAGTATGAAAAACCAATTAAGATGTACAAAGTATAATGGAAGAAAACCAATTAAGATGTACAAAGTATAATGGCAGATGTGTGAGACGGACATTGTATGTCGACCACATCTATTTTCAACGATACGATTTTATCGATAATGTCAAGAAATGTAGTCACGTAATTCCTACAAGTTCCCAAACTGAAAATGAATGTGATGGCGGTAGTGTACGTGCGATTTCAACGGAACAGGAAAAATGCGGGCATGGCCTCTCTCAGGTTTCCCTCTGGTAGCAATATTGTTATATTTCCTATACTTAAAATAAAGGGGAAAGATATATATATAAAAAAAAAAAGGAATGAAAAAGTATTAACTACTACAAAAAAAGATTAACTACGAATAGTTTTCTACATATATACGCATTATGCATTAAAAAAAATTTTTTTGAAAATCATTAACTTTTAGTGATTTATATAAATAACTTTTGTATCCTACAATTTCATTTTTTAGTTAATTTAAAAATTGGGAAATTTTATATTTATATTTGAAAATAAATAAACAAGATGGTCCACAAGAAACATACAATACAAACCAAACATCATGTATACATCACATTTATGAAATTTTGTAATTGTTAAAATTTAATTCTAATATTAGAAATAAATAAAGAATGAAACAATAAACTCCTTTCAAATATTATATAATTATCTCTTATATAATTTGTAGCAGTCTAATATACTATAAAATTAATTAATTTTTCCTGCTTTGAAATGTAAAATTTTGAATGTTAGAGCCTTCAGTCTGCAATCTTTTTGAAAATATAGACCTCTGCAGTTTGTTTTCTGTCACATGTTGTCTGGTAGATTTTAATTTTCTAGTTGGCACGTTCTTAAATGCCTTTTCCCAATCTCCAGTGTGCCTCAAATCCAACATTATAGTAATCGATTGGTTGAGCGTAAGATTTTTTGACGAGCTAGGACCCCAAGAGAGATATTGGTCCATAGGAAATTTAGCCATCTGAATACCTTCTCTTTTAGCTTTTGCCATAGATAATGGTTGTGAATGCCCCTATAAATGAAAATCCAATTTAATAAATATTTATGCGATGAATGCATAAAGTCTTATTATTAGCTTACCTTGTCTACCAAAGCACCTATGATATAAATCATATTTGGATCATATTTGGTTAAATTTGTTCTACAGTGTGGAGTGAGATACACTAACTGATTTTTTGGAAATATGTCTAAGTAAGATTGCGATGTCATTATAAGAGGAAAATCATCTTGCATCAAAGTAGGTATGTTTTGATGAAGGTGCTGCTTGAGTAATCCATCTTTGTTAAAATTACAGAAATAAAGAGTCAGAGGATTGGCATGGTTGCGATTATGAGCAAATGACAAAGCTAACTGCTTGCTGCAATTGTGTATCTCACGTTTAGTCATATGGTCCTCATAACTACAATCAAACACTAGCTTCGGTTCAAACATCATATTATAAATCAATCTACCATTGTAATAGTGATTCATAGTTGTTTCATATATACGTAAAAATAGCGTATTTCCGAAGAGGCCATATCTAGTTTCACCAGTGTCCTCGGTCAATTCTTGCTTTTTAGCGAGCCATTCAGCCTTCTTCAACTCTTTCTTCTCCTTGTCATGTTCTGTTTTTTTCTCATTAAGCCACAAGAACTTAAGGTATTTTCTGCACAAAGAAACATGTTTCAATCAAAATTAATTCAAGCTGAACTTCTAATAAATAAATAAATAAATAGAAAATAAAACACTGACTTTCTTTTTGCTTTGAACGTTGTACTTAACAGGCACAACCAATCTTCTGGTTCAATATTCTTAGGCACTCTTTCAGCATTGTGTCGCAAAACGTCTACTTCTAATTCTAATATTTGAAAACGCTTAAGATTCTCGGGTTCGGACAAATATTCATTCAGTTTCTGCTCATCCAACTTTCGCTTATGATATTTTAGTTCGGCGCTCGTTGTATTTTTCTCATCGATCGTATTATGACAGTAAAATCGCTTGTAGACTGCATTATTTGAACATCGAGCATTCACATTCGAAAAATAAAGTCTAGTCGACAAAATATCCACATGGATTAATCGGGTTAACAATTTCTTGTGAATCCTAACTGAGGTTATCAGGCATTTTTTCATGTTATTAAACATACTATAATATAAATATAGTTACTACAATTTCTTATAACAATAGTCGTCACTTTGTTATAAACTGCAAGAAGAAAATTCAACCTACAATTTTCTAACTTACAATACACAGCGCTATCAAGTGTTATTTAAACATAAAGTACACCCGACGTAGATCAACGTAACATCGCTACATACAAATGTTCCGAAGCACTCTTTGATTGGCCGATTCGTAAAATTCTTTCTTCTCTTCCGATTGGTCAACGGAGTATTTGTCGAGCCAAATGGACCGCACCCTGGATATCGCACGCAATTGCGAATTTACCATAAAGGGCCATCTACATAAGTCGCAAACGCAGAAAGCAGTTCGCGGATGCATTTGCGGCAGCCAATCAGAAGCGTTAATGGTACTAATAACAACTTTTCATTGGCTGTCGCAAATGCGTCTGCGGACTGCGTTCTGCGC